ATTGTTATGTCCATCCCCTGGTGTCATTATTGTTATGTCCATCCCCCGGTGTCATTATTGTTATGTCCATCCCCCGATGTCATTATTGTACTGTCCATCCCCCGGTGTCATTGTTCTGTCCATCCCCTGGTGTAATTATTGTTCTGTGCATCCCCTGGTGTCGTTATTGTTCTGTCTGTCCCCTGGTGTCATTATTGTTATGTCCGTCCCCTGGTGTCATTATTGTTCTGTCCGTCCCCTGGTGTCATTATTGTTCTGTCCATCCCCTGGTGTCATTATTGTTATGTCCAGCCCCTGGTGTCATTATTGTTATGTCCATCCCCTGGTGTCATTATTGTTCTGTCCGTCCCCCGGTGTCATTATTGTTCTGTCCATCCCCTGGTGTCATTATTGTTATGTCCATCCCCTGGTGTCATTATTGTTCTGTTCGTCCCCCTGGTGTCATTATTGTTCTGTCCAGTAGAAAAATGTCACCAGCACACCATGAGTTGAAAAAGCAAAATATTTTATTGCCGAAGCTGTATCTCATTGGCAAGCGCTTTCGGGGCCTCGCAGGGTCCCCTTCATCAGGCTTAGAATTATTGTTCTGTCCGCCCCCTGGTGTCATTATTGTTATGTCTGTCCCCCTGGTGTCATTATTGTTATGTCCATCACCCGGTGTCATTATTGTTCTGTCCGTCCCCCTGGTGTCATTATTGTTATGTCCATCCTCCGGTGTCATTATTGTTCTGGCCGTCCCCTGGTGTCATTATTGTCCTGTCCATCCCCGTTGTCATTATTGTTATGTCCATCCCCTGGTGTCATTATTGTTATGTCCATCCCCTGGTGTCATTATTGTTCTGTCAATCCCCTGGTGTAATTATTGTTCTGTCCGTCCCCCGGTGTCATTATTGTTCTGTCCATCCCCCGATGTCATTATTGTTGTGTCTGTCCCCCTGGTGTCATTATTGTTATGTCCATCCCCCGGTGTCATTATTGTTGTGTCTGTCCCCCTGGTGTCATTATTGTTATGTCCATCCCCCGGTGTCATTATTGTTCTGTCCGTCCCCCTGGTGTCATTATTGTTATGTCCATCCCCCGGTGTCATTATTGTTCTGGCCGTCCCCTGGTGTCATTATTGTTATGTCCGTCCCCTGGTGTCATTATTGTTATGTCCGTCCCCTGGTGTCATTATTGTCATGTCCATCCGCTGGTGTCATTATTGTTATGTCCGTCCCCTGGTGCCATTGTCATGTCCATCCCCTGGTGTCATTATTGTCATGTCCATCCCCTGGTGTCATTATTGTTACGCCCGGGGATAATGACACCAGGGGACATAATAATAATAATGACACCAGGGTGGGACATAATAATAATTATAATAATAATAATGACACGGGGGGACATAACAATAATAATAATGACACCTGGGGACATGCTCAGGTGTCATTATTATTATTATTGTTGCTATTCTATGCAGTGGAAGTGGTAGGTGGCGAATTATCCACACATTTACCATGAAAGTAGAATTATGGGGAGAGTGAAATGCGCTCTTCCCCCTAGTAACTGAACAGGTCGGCTCTCTTGATATACCGCTGATCACGCAGTTCCCGCACTCACTCTCTCTGCAGAGAGCGGTGACTGTCAGTCACCTCTCCCCGCAGGTATTGCCCCCCTCCCCTCTCTAATCCTCCAACGCTGACTGGAGGGATGGATGGGGCAGACACAACCTCTAGAGAGGTAGAGTCAGCTGTCAATCAGGTGGAGGGGTGGATCTGGACAATATTTTTTGGATCCATCCCAGGTGCAGCCTGGCTCTGCTCTGTCAGCATATAGCGGGCAATATTGCATGGGGGGCGTGGTGGGGGGCCCAAGAAAATGTTTGCCCGGGGTCCAATCAATATTAAAGATGGCCCTGATTGGGAGCAGTGGATGCTTTAGTGCCTCTGTGGCACTCACCTCACCCTGATCTTTCCTTTTCTGAAACATCTTCCTCATTGTTGAACAATGACCCAAATGAATGTAATATGCCAATCTGGACATACTCCAGGAATATGCTCTTTGGTCACTGCGGGATTGTCAAGATATTCTATCCCAGGGGTCAGCAACCTTAAGCACTTAAAGAGCCATTCGGACCCGTTTCCCAAAGAAAAGAAAACACCGGGAGCCACAAAACCTTTTTGACATCTATAATGAAGATAACAGGGCATATATTGTTTTTTACCTTTATGCTATCAAAGGCACAGAGATGGCCCCTTTATATATGTGCCTTTATATATATATGTTATGCTAACATATATATATATATATATATGTATATGTGGGCTTAGTAATGTACTGTGCTTACCTGAGACCCCGCAGAGCCCACCAGAGAATGACCTTGCAGAGCACACTATAGATCCTGCACAGCCCATCTGATACTCTCTATGGTGGGCTCTGCAGGGCCTCAGACCAGCTGGTCGCCGGGGTCCCTTTCCCTGTACCTCCTCCCAACACCTCTTACCTGCTGCTGATGCTGGGGCCCGGTCTCCTCCACCCCCTCCCCTGTCACCTCTGCCATGCTGCCCCTGGTACAGCTGATACCCATGTAAGAGGCCACCTAGGCTGCCCAGACCCCTCACATGGGTACCAGCCATACCCCCCTGATGACGGTGTTCTATCAAAGTTTGTGACTACGTTACAATGTGTGACAGATGACGTGGTCACACATTTCAAAGTAATCCCGCCCAGTTTTTTGGCTGGTGGAATGTGTGACCGCCAATAGGTCAAGCATTCCAATGCTTTCTCAACTGTTCCAGGCAGATCGGCATCGCAAATCGTATGTGCAGGAGAACTGATCTGCCTTGGAACAGCTGTTCGGTTCTGAAATGTGCAGGTTGGTGTTTAGTTGCATTTCAGGACTGAACATCTGGACAGGGAGCCGCAGCAGAGGGATTAAAGAGCCACATGCGGCTCCGGAGCCGCAGGTTGCTGACCCCTGTTCTATCCCAAGGGCCTGTTTCATGGTCTCTGGGTTTAACAGTATGGCTGTTGAGTTTTGAGGCTCATGTTTTGTGAGATGGGGCCATCTCTGTGCCTTTGATACCATGATGGTAAAAGCTTGAATTTTTTTTTTCCGGCGCTGTCTCTCATAAGACACAGAAGGCATACCTCACGTGGTATGAGTCTCAGGGTTCTACCCCATGAGCTTCTCTGCGGGATGAGTCTTCTCCCTGTAACTGGGTCTGGACTATCTATCTATCTATCTATCTATCTATCTATCTATCTGCCCAGTTTTTTGGCTGGTGGAATGTGTGACCGCCAATAGGTCAAGCATTCCAATGCTTTCTCAACTGTTCCAGGCAGATCGGCATCGCAAATCGTATGTGCAGGAGAACTGATCTGCCTTGGAACAGCTGTTCGGTTCTGAAATGTGCAGGTTGGTGTTTAGTTGCATTTCAGGACTGAACATCTGGACAGGGAGCCGCAGCAGAGGGATTAAAGAGCCACATGCGGCTCCGGAGCCGCAGGTTGCTGACCCCTGTTCTATCCCAAGGGCCTGTTTCATGGTCTCTGGGTTTAACAGTATGGCTGTTGAGTTTTGAGGCTCATGTTTTGTGAGATGGGGCCATCTCTGTGCCTTTGATACCATGATGGTAAAAGCTTGAATTTTTTTTTTCCGGCGCTGTCTCTCATAAGACACAGAAGGCATACCTCACGTGGTATGAGTCTCAGGGTTCTACCCCATGAGCTTCTCTGCGGGATGAGTCTTCTCCCTGTAACTGGGTCTGGACTATCTATCTATCTATCTATCTATCTATCTATCTATCTATCTATCTATCTATCTATCTATCTATCTATCTAACTATCCCCCATAAATACAGCAATGTATTTAAAATGTTGCAATGTAAAAATGTTGCATAACGAGCATTTGAGGCAAAAAGCATGCACTAGCGGCTAGCCAATGACTCCAAAACTAAAGCATATATTTTATGCAAAGATATAATACCATCCCTGCTTCTTACACAGCCCTGGTAATTCTAATACCAAATCCCACCAAAATTGTAACACAGAAAAATAAATCCAAAATGTAAAATCCCAAATAAATTTCCCAAAATTTAGAAACACATGCAAGAGCAATATAAACAGTGCAAATGCCCTGGTAAAAGAAGTCCATAAAGAATTGGCCACAAAGTATTGTATCATGTATGCATTCACAACAAGCTGCATAAAAATGCAGCAGGTCATATTTCTCTCGCATTTTTTGAAGAGTACAGCAGAGATCTTTAGTTGTTGACCATTGGGTTATAGCACCTTCAGGAGTAGGACACTATGCACAAAAATAAAAGTACAGCCTAGGTGTGCCCGTGCTGGTGGCCAAACCCCCCAACTGCTAGGGCAGCTATTTTTTTGCCTTGTGTAAAGGAGTGAAAACCTAAGCTCCCTGCTGGGAACCTTAGTTCTCATTTTTGTTGCAGGGAATTTTTCTTTCTTGTCTGTCTTCCAGACCTTCAAACAACAGCCGAGCTGGGTGACAAGCTGGATAATATATTGTAGATCCTTGTAGTCCCCTTAGCTCAGCCTCTGAGTACATGCAGATCCTTAGCTACGTGCGGGGTCACCTGCAATAGCCCTATCCTATATCTTAGGGCAGCCTGTGAGTGCATCTCACAGGGGGCACATATGACTGAGCGACTTGCAGACATCCTAACTCTCCCGGTCCCTAACCCCCCTCCGGGGATGGGGGGGCGTAGAGGGCACCTCCCTGAAATGAGAAGGACACCTCCCTGAAATGGCTTCTTTCAGGTTGGGATCCCTGGACTTCTTGAGCCCTGTCACAGTGTCCCTCCAACACAGAGCTTTAGCATGAACTAAACCAACAGAACATAAGGCCAATTGCCTTGTCTATGTAGCCCAGTGTATATGATTTGAATGTGCCCTAAAATACTTACCCAAATACTTGAAAGGTTACAGGATTATTTTACTGTAGTAATGGTCAAATATATACATAAAAGTAATGCTGTTATTTTTGCCTTCCACAGCTGAAAATGTGTTGACACAGGCAAACTTTTACCAGGAAGTGGAACCGACAGGAGAGTTCATGTTTCAGTTTGACAAAGATGAGATCTTCTATGTAGACTTGGATAAAAAAGAGACCAGATGGAGGCTTCCACAGTTTGGTGAAGTGGCCAGCTTTGAGGCAGCAGGAGCCCTGCAGAATATTGGTGTGCTGAAATATAATCTTGATATTTATAAGCAGCGGTCAAACTTCACAAAAGCAAAAAGTGGTAAAAATAAAAAAAATTGTATATGAAATGTACTTTGAATTTGTATTTGTTGCAAATGTGTGAGATACTTTTATGTGTTATTTTCTGGAACTACTGGGGTGGGGCTAGCAGTCCATACCACTAGAGAACGAGGATATATATATATTTTTTTTTAAAGAGTAAAAGAAAGTTTTTTTTTATAGTAAGTCTGGCCCCCATACACAAGAAAATAAAATAAAAAACAAAGGTTTAATAACGCTTTAAACCATGCAAGTGACATGGGATTTGTTTCTGAACACCTCCAGGAATTCACAGCGTGTCTTTGACACTCTTTAGAATTTTGTTATGCATTCATACAACAGGTGTTGGTGCCTGCCCCAGATTCATGTACAACGTACTGTTGGAAACAGGTACATGAATTTGGTGCAAGCACCGTCATTTGCGGTGAGGAGGCACACTGAGGCCAGAGTGTCCATACCAGACACTCAATCCTCAGTGCAGCTTAGTAATGCTGAGTCTCATAAAAACAAAGGCTCTGGGTTACTGAGCTCTCTGCCTGGCCATCTCTCACAGGCAGAACTGTTGCTGTGGGTGGGCAGTGCCGGAGGGAGGACTCTGGGAGACTAGTTCTCAACAGGTTTACTTCGCAACAGCATCCTTAGCCAGTGACACTGACAGTGGGCGGAGCCCAATACGGATGCCAAGGGACCAGGTTGGCTATTAGCTATGGAATTTGCCCACTGCCATCTGTCAATCAAAAGGAAGTCATACCCCTGGGGAACTAATTTGAAGCAACAGGGATGGATTTCACTAGTAACAGATGAAAAGCAGGTCAAAAGCCGCTGCTCATTAATACTACACAATTAAAGCAATCCAGGATATAGACCTGTAGGCAAGAGTATTGAGGGTAGAGCTAAAATTGTCTTGAGAAAATTGGAAAAGACCAACCCCGGAAAAAGCTGTTTTTGCCCAAACCCAACGCTAATTTTGATGTTGATAGACAGCATGTGTTCTGTACTAGGGTGTATACACTAGTTCCACCATACAAATGGTACACCATCCAGGAAAATATCCTGTGCACAAGCATAATGTTGTAAAAAGTTTACAATTGGTATGTATAAGCTGAAACGTAAAGTCCATCTTTGGGCTTATTTTCACCGCCCTCCAACTTTACTTTACTGTAAGGTCACAAGTGACAATTCATTCAGTTCTACAGGCACAGCGGGGTGCAAGGTGGTTGTACCGCATGCCTTACTTTTCAGTGCACGCCACCGCATTTCTACAGACAACACGGTGGTGTGTCCATCCGTGACAAGGCAAATTGCATTGTCTTGCGTTGGGGTTGCGCTGGAAGCAACAGCCAGCACAGCCCCAGTGCAGATAATGTGCTAATATGATGGTAGCACATTATAGCTAAAGACTCCAGGGGAACTTTTAATTTTATTTTTTATTGCCTTTACTTCCACTTTAACTTCTTTCCAAATTAAGATACTTGCAGATACAGTACTTCAGTTAATGTTTTAGGCTAGTTCAGGCTCATGATGATGCATTTCATTATAGATGTGAATAATTGCCCAAATATAAGTGTTATTCTGCCCAAAATAATATTTAGTTTATACAGTAGGTATAGTCTGGAGAGTTTAATCACCGGACTATACTATACAGAAGAAGTGGAAACACTATAGTGCTTCCACTTCTCCTGCTGCATTCTTTGCAGCATAAAATAACCTAATAATGCAAAAGACTGTGAAGTCCCCATGCTGGAAACTCACATGGACAGATCTTACCACTAATGCACCCAAGAGATGTAATAAACTGGTGTTTTAACTCTCCAGCATCTACCAATAGCTCAAATGCCAGTTTTAAGTGCACAGGCCACAAATAATGTAGGAATCTGTAAACACAAAATACAAAATCCTGTATGTCTGGTGGACATTTCGTTTGGTTTGGACACTTTAAAAGCCCCACTTTTCTCTATTTTACTTGTATACATTTCTGTAAACACAGACACAGTATGTTGTAAAAAAAAATAGTAATGTGGGCCATAATATTGTGTTCTTCTTCCCTACAGTTGCTCCAGAAATTCATGTATTTCCTGAAGACCCTGTGATTGGGGGTGAGCCCAATGTGCTGATATGTCTGGGTAGCAAATTCTTTCCACCTGTCCTTAAGATGAGCTGGATGAAGAACAGTCGGCCTGTGACAGATGGAGTGTTCGAGACGGATTTCTACCCTGCACCAGATGGATCATTCAGCAAGTTCTTGTACTTAACTATGGTGCCACGTGAGGGGGAAGTGTATACCTGTTCTGTGGAACATGCTGGACAGACCACCAACAAGTTCTGGCGTAAGTAATATTTACTTGGTAAAACCGGATCTGACATCAAAAGTGTGCTTATGCAATGTACACAATTCTAATGTCACATTACGGAAAGTGTATACAGGCAGTCCCTGGGTCACATACAAGATCGGGACTTTAGATTTGTACTTAAGTTCAATTTGTATCGGAAAAGGTACATTTTTTAAGGGTAACTCCAGCCAAAAATGTATTTTAGTTTTGGATAGCATAGGGAAGGGCCACGGTTCTTTTGCTGTCTGCTCCTGTTATTCAGGACATTATAATATAATTACAATTTTATTTAATTTAAAATGACAGCAAAAAAAAGTTTTTTTCTATTTTGTATTTTATAAACTTTATTTTTTATAATTTGTTTGCATTTTAAATTTTTATTTATTTATTTTTTACTTTTTTTACATTTTTTTTGTCTTTTTCATTTAATTTTTTTTTAAACTTTTTATTTTTTTATTTTAATGCTGGGAGCCATAGCCAGCCGGCTATTGGATATTTCAAGTTGCAATTTCTCCCAGCCTGCAATGAAGAGTAGGCAGGGGGGCAGGGCAGAGGAGCCGCGGCCGGACCGGGAGACCGGAGGATCATCCGGACCGGGGGAAGCCAACGGAACAGCTGAAGAGTAAGCCGGCACATCAGTGGAGGTACGTGGGGCATCGGCGGTATGCAACGGTCTGTGTCCCCGCTGCCTCCGCCAACACAGGCGCGGAGAGCAGCGGGGGTTTTGAAAGGACACTGGCCGCTGCAGCCACAGTTCTCCTAAATGTACCGGCGCCTGCCGGTACATTTAGGAGTACTGTGGACCCCGTTCGTAAGTACGGATTGTCCGTAAGTCGGACGTCCGTAACCCGGGGACTGCCTGTACATGGGTGCCTGTTATGTGGAGGAGTGTATTGAAAGTAATGTATTTTATGTGACAGACTGTTTTTCATTTTTTTAACATTTGAAATCCGAATATCAGGTTTACCTAAATATTTTGAGGAATTATAGAACTCACCAGCGTCAGACAGCAGAGTAAAATTCAGCACCATGGCATTAGAGGAAGGGTGCATTAGTTGAGGATTGTTGAAGTTAGTTTAAAAATACAAGAGAAAATTGTCGAGGCTGCGAAGTTTATCAAAGCAAAGTAGGATTGTGTATAGATTTAATCATAGAAGGCTTAGGCCTCATTCACACAGCGTAGAGTGGGGCCATCAGATCCGTGCGGTGTGCACGGCCATATCGAGCTGTTCCCGGGAGGGACAGGTGCTGCGTGTGATTGTATGCAGCAGCCTGTTCTTCCCTATGGGAGGACGCTGTTGTATGCTCACCCAAACTGTACATCCGTGCGGGAGTCCGTGCTCAGACGCAGACAGCATTCAATCTGTCTGCGTCTGAGTACGGACACCCGCACGGATGTGCAGCTCGGGTCTGCGTATGGCCGCGTCCTCCCATAGGGAAGAACAGGCTGCTGCATACAATCACACGCAGCACTTGTCCCTCCCGGGAACAGCTCGATATGGCCGTGCACACCGCACGGATCTGATGGCCCCACTCTACGCTGTGTGAATGAGGCCTTACAGTGTATGTATAGCCAAACCATTTTTCTTTTAATTTTGGAAAGAGTAGGGAAAGGCTAAAACACGTCAAATTATTTTTTGCTGTCATAGAGATTCAAGAGGGACAGAGAGGAAATATCCTCAATGTGAGGGGAATTCCAATCTTATAGTTGTCACCAGAACATTTCCCCTATCGGAAGATTTGCCCTCGCCTCTTGACAACTGTCAAATTTAGCATTTTTCCCTCACTTTCAGTCTTGATGACATCGGTATCCTGGATAAATAAAGAGGTGAATCCCCCACACTAGGACACAGACACCAATAAAAACTTGATAGAGGGTCTAACACTTTATCCAAAACTAAAAATAAACATTTTGCTTTTACATACATTTTAAAGGGTGGCCTGTATGAATCACTTATCAGTGGTTTGAATGTTTGTTACATACCGAGTATCCTCAGTGCCCTTTGAAAATCAAGAAGTTTGTGAATTGGGTTATTTTCCAGGGGCCAGGCATTCCAGAGAGCAAGGATTCACCTGGAAAATATCAGATTCACTGGTGCCAGGACATCATTCTGCAAATGACAAAAACTTGCTTTGGATTAAACTCAAAAAATACTTTACATCACAAGTACAAGTAAACATATAATAACAGTGAATATTACAAGCATTAGGGGCTCCAAAATATGTTATATAAAACTGTCTCTTAACCCCTTGCTGACCGCAGAGTTTACACCCCCTTCCTGTGGCGGCCATTTTTCAGTATTCAGCGCTGCAGTACTTTGACATTTATTCCATCATGCAGCCCTGTCTGAAATGAATTTTATACCATTTTTTGGGGACAGATAGCGCTTTCTTTTGGTGGTATTTAATCACCACTGGGATTTTCCTTTTACAATATTAAGGAAAAATTACAGAATTTTTTTATACATTATGTTATAACACATTTATTATTATCCAATTTTTTGGTAACATATAAAAGACGGGAAGGGGCGTGGCCAGGATGTGAGGCTGAACGGACGTCCATTGCAGCAGCTCCGATCATCCGTCTAGCCATCTTGCTTCCCAGCTGACCTAATCGGGTTTTTACACTTACCCTCTCCTGGCGGGTGTTCCGGTGACGACTGGTGTTCCGTCCATGCGAACCCGACGGCGATCGGCCCGGCCCCGAGCGAGCGGTGTGACTTCAGGCCCTGCTCCTGTCACGCGTGCCGGCGCCATCTTGGCTGCACGCTCTCCCTCTCTCACTACCACTAGCACACAGACCGCTCAGTGGGGAGACATGGAGCCGGAGGTGAGTGCACATAACGCTGCCAGCCTGCATCCTTCTCAGGGCAAAGACCCTCCAGATGCCACGGACGCCATCCTGGCGGCGATTGAGGCCAGTAAAACGACCCTAATAGCCAGAATGGATACGCTGGCCACAGAATGCGGCCTAATCCGTCAAGATATGGATAAAATTAGGGGTCGAATAACAACAGTGGAGGCACGAGTGGGAACATTGGAGGATACTTCAGGGGCACACGATCAGACCCTCAGGAGCTTACAGCGCTCAGTGGAGCAGTTGACAGCACGCTCAGAGGATGCTGAGAATCGCTTACGCCGCAATAATGTGCGTGTAGTGGGGCTCCCGGAGGGGGTGGAAGGCCCGCATACTACCTCCTTTGCTGAGGCGTTCTTTAAGGAACTCTTGGATCTCCAATCGGTCTCTGCGGCCTACATAGTGGAGCGCGCCCACCGGGTGCCCGCGAGTCGCAGACCTCCTGGTTCGCCTCTTCGGCCATTTTTGGTCCGCTTCCTCAATTTTAGAGATCGGGATCTGATCCTCGCCACTGCCAGAAGAAGGGAGTCGGAGTTGAGGTACAAAAATGCCACCATTATGCTTTTTCCTGATTTTTCGCCGGAACTACAGAGAAAGAGGCGCTCATTTGTGGATGTCAGACGCCTTCTCCGTGACAAAGGTCTGAAATACAGCATGCTCTATCCTAGCAAACTGAGGGTGCAGTTTGCCGGCTCTACCAAGTTTTTTGAGGATCCTGCTACATCGGCGGACTAGCTGGACTCCATGCGTGGGTTATCGGGACTGAGGCTACCATCTACATCATCCGGTACCTGAGCTTTCTTTTGTGACCCCACGGGGGGGTTATTTTTTTTTAAACTATATAATGAAAAAAGTGTCATAAATATATAAAAAAAAAAGTTTCCCTACGTTATAAAACATTTATTCTTACCCATATCTTTAGTAAAACATAAAAGTCCTGATGACGGTGCATCAGTCTCCTTTTCACATCCTGCAGTTTTCGGCAGCGATAGTGCTGGGTGAGTGGCGGTGAACGTAGAGTTCCCCTTTCTGCTGGTTGGTTGCCCGTGGTACTGTCATTAAGGAAGATGCTACAAAGTAATAAGTAATGACACATACATTTGAGGGGGAGTTCCTGGAGAGTGGGTAGGAGTATTGGAGAATAAGGGATCCGTAATGTGCCCGGGGGGGGCGGGGGGGATGCTGATCGGGGATTGTTTATGCGTACTGTGTGTGTATTTTGGGCATATGTTATGCCGTACTGTGTGTTATTTTGTACTTGAGGCACTATGTTAGTGCCCTGTTTATTTGTATTATAAACTGCAAAATGAATAAAAAGATTTATAAAAAAAAACAACAAAACATAAAAGACGGGGTCACGTCTGGTAAATAGACACCAAACACGTCAAGCTTTAAAATTACGCACATCGCAATAAACTACCACACCCAAAATTGGCCATAGGTAACACTTTAAAAGCTTTTACCGCTCATCAGTTTAGTGTCATCATTGAATAAAGGCCCTAAAATTATTGTTCGCTCTCTGACATTCATGGTGATATGCAATATGTGTGGTGTAATGGGCGCAATCTTCATTTTGGCACGCATGTTTGTGAGCGTGTATGTGGGGCTGGGGACTTTAACATTTTTTTTGTGTGTTTTTTTTCATTCTTTAATTTTTTTTTGCAACTTAAATTTTTTTTTCACTTAAAGGAGAACTATGAGGCGAGTGATTTACACTCATCCTCATAGTTAGAGCCGACGTGTGACATTGAAACTGTCACAGGTCGGCTCTATTGATCAGGAAGTGAGCGAACGTATACCCTCGTTCACTTCCCGATCATCTCCCTACAGAGAGCAGTGACTTTCAGTCACCTCTCCCCGCAAGGGTTCCCCCCACCTCCGATCCTCCAGCGCTGAGTGGAGGAACAAACGGGGGAGGGGGTTGGGCACAGATGGCTCTGCCTCTGGATAGGCAGAGCCAGCTGTCTGCGTGAGTGACAGCTGGCTCTGCCTATTCAATGTCCCAAGGTCCAGAAGACAAATTAAAAATTTAGTTACCTGGTTATCCCCTTTGGGTCCATAGTATCTAGCAGATCATAACAGATAGTGTCCTTGTGGAGCAACACTGCTTGAAAATGAACTCATTCAGATAGAAGCAGGT